TACAATGTATAATGACAAGAAAGTTGAAAGATTTAATGGATAACAAGGAAGATAAATGTGATTAATCAAAATTGTAACACAAAAGAAAACCAGGAAAAAATCCCTGATAAATAAAGAGGGTAAAGAGAAGATGTGTATGAATGAGATGTATAGGAGGCAATGAAAGCAGGATAAACCATGCAGTTTAAAACTGATATCAAATTTTCTGTAATTAGTTAACCTCATCTGAAAATGGATAAGCTTTGGTATTTCTATATGTGCCATTGAGAAGGAACAGACAAAACTCTGAGGTTATAAATGGGAGGGATATTGTACTTTATATGTCAGTAATTAATCAAAGGAACACAAAGATTAATTGCAGCAAGGAACATGTAAAATATATATGGCCGTATGTCATTCTCAGTTCAAAGAAAAGGCACCAGAATAACAGTTCTTTAGCAAATTTTACCCAGGGTTGAGGGACCTGTGGCTTTTGAGTCCTAGTAAAAGGTGCTGTTGGGAGATTAATTTTAGTCACTGTAACCTTAACAAATGAACGAGAAACTTGAAGCAGTATGTTCCATAGTGTGTTGCTTCCAGCTTTTCCCTGGCTGAAAAGGGAAGGAATGAACAGGTCTAGGAAATGGTGCAATCATATGGTAGAGGATGCCAAAAAGGCAATTTAGTTTCTCCAGAAAATGATTACTATGAACTCAAAGGAGTAGGAGAATGTTTGGAAGTAAAGTACTCAAAAAGTAAAACATTGTGGATCTCAAAAGCTGTTGGATGTAACAGGCTAAAGTACTTTTCCAAAGGGAAAGTTACAGCTTTCAACCATTTGTTTAGTGATCAATTGAAGTTATACCTGCAACTAAAAAAAGTGACTTATGATTAGTCCTCGCACTTATAACCATTGCAGCATCCCCATGGTCACATAATCAAAATTTGGGTGCTTGGCGATCAGCATATATTAATGAGGGTTGCAGCATCTCAGGGTTATGTGACTGTCATTCACTTTCCAGCTGGCTTCCAACAAGTAAAGTCAATGGGGAAAGCCAGATTCGTTTAAGGATCACAAGATCCACTTATCAACTGCAATGATTCACTTAACATCCATGACAAAAATGGTCAAAAAATCGGGCATGAACAGGCATTAATCTTCTGGTCCCAATTGTAGACATAAATTGAGGACTATCAGTAGTAGGCACATTTAAGAACATTCTGGAACTGTCCTTGATACTATGCTGTGACTGGATCTTCAGGTGACAACAATGACAAGAAATGCATGCTTGTACGAATGTACAATTAAACATTGTACATTTAGATAATTGCCACCAGTCCACATAGGACTACTCTTGAAAAGTATATGGCAAGGATCATGACTGTATTTCTTCAGTTCTGAAAGATTGTCGGAGGGCTTCTGCCTCACTCCCAGGATTTCCCCAGGGAGCTAAGATATGTAACTTTAATTTTCTCTTGCAAATAGTTAGCAGTTAGATCTTAAACACAGTTTTAATATTGTGGATATTTTTCCTTTTTAATTTTCATCATACATCAGTGACAACTGTTGAAAAATGGGATTGCAATACCATGAAGACATTTCCCTGTATTGTCTGCTATTTTATAGGATTCTTTTTAAAAAGTGTAATTACAAGTATTTTTCATAAATGAGGTATATTTCAGTCAGGGCGGATAGCATCAATAAATAGTCATCTTCTAACAGCAATAAAAACAAAACAATCTATATCTTACATTTTTATTTAACCACTTCTTCAGATAATGATGGCAATATTATAAATTGCTCCTCAATTCCCTGTTCCTTAATAGGGTTGTTAATACTATTACAACCATAATCTTTCCCATGCAGGTACAATTAGCATTTTCAAAGCCTCCCCATTGATCTGCCTCGGGGTTTTGATAAATTTCTAAGTGCTGCAATTACCTCACTTTAATGCTGAAATTAATCTAGAAATATTACAATGGCCTATTAGGATAGTGAGATTTGACTTTTCCAGATTTTAATATGGCTTGGTAGCATTAGCAAAATTCCTTATGCCAGAGTTTTGTCTCGTTAAAATTGTGCACACTGGATAAGCTGACAAGGTCCTCATTTTGATTTTCATGAAGGCCTCGAGTCCCTGAAGGACGAATAGACTTGCAATCCTTTCCCAGCATACTTCACGACTTGAGGAAATAATTATAAGAAGCCACAAGGTGATTGCTAAATGAGAGAATGATCCTTTGAGATCTTGGAGCTAAATCCAGAACTGGTGACATTTGTTTCCATTATTTTTCAGGCAATTCTTCTTTGGCATCAATGTCTGTATGAATATATATATGTGTGTGTGTATTACAGTGTATGTGATTGTTATTATTTTTGGGTAGGGTGTTAGACTGGAAGACCTCCAAGGTCCCTTTCAACTCTGTTATTGTGGGCTACTTTCAACAACATTAATTTTTTTTAAAAAGCTATCTTAGTTTCAATTCTTGAACTGGGTGAAAATTTCAACATGGCAAAAAGTGGGGGGGGGGGGGAAATTAATGCATATACTTCCCATCCCCCCTCTTTGAAGGCAGTTATTCAATACAAAATGTATTTTAACAAAAAATGTTAAAATATCTTACTTTCATTAAAAAGGCTCCTAGCAAAGGGTTGAGAAGCTTTCTTTTGAAATATAATTAAGAAATGAGAACTTGAGTTGTCCTCTTATGAAAGATGATAGCAGAACATACCGCTGCCATGAAAATATGTTTTCACTCAGCATAATCAATGGCAACAGATGATGCCAGCTTCTGCTTTATAAGGAAGTCATGTGGTGTGCTTTTCTTTTGATGGCAAGACTCCTTATTTTAAACATGGGGAAACACATCTTAATGTTGCAGGCTAAGAGTGTTGGGAGTCAAAATCCAATGTATCTGGAAGTTAGCATGTTAAGGAATCTTCAACCTATTAGAAGATCCAAGGAAGTCAAATTGTGTAACTATATCTATTAGATCTATATATCCCCATCTTTCCTTCAGTTCAAGACAGCACACTCAACAGTTTTTATTTATTGAACTATACGGTTATAGACTACATTCAGAAAAGTTAAAAAAAATACATTAGCCAGCACATGAAAACCTACTCATGCCTGAATTAGATACATCTGGGGAAACAATCAGATGGAAAGCATTCTAATTTTCATAGTTATGGTGAAAAATTTAGCTACAATTGTGGGACTTCCCAATCAGGGTCTTTTAGTAGGTAGACCACAATGACAGTGATCTCAATAATTAGTGCACATATTATCTTCTCTCATTTTCCCCCATAATGATCATGTGAGATGATTGAGCCAGGAAATACAACTACTCAAAGTTTTTCAGTAAGTTTCGACGGCTCATGGTAGGTATCAGCCTGGACTCCCTACACCTACACTAATCACTAGTTGTTCGCTGATCAGAGGAGTTTCTGAGCTGAAGTTTCATCTTCAAAATAAAGGTGCTGTTTCCTCATTAAAATTCAAGAACAGCCATTGCTTATAATGACTACTTACAATGTCTTTTGATCTAGCTGTATATTTAAAGAAAAATGCAGTAATAAATTTCTAATTGTATTTCTACACATGCCACATTTACCTATAAAGTAGTATTCATGTTTGTATTTAGTAAAATTATCCTATAATTATCTATGTTATATTTGGTGACTAGCTTGCAATTGTAATATATAGGTTTGTCAATCAAGGGTGTTTTTTTTTTAAAAAAAAAACATAAGGTGCAAAATTATTTAAATCGCCAGGTAATTTGATTTGATTGTAAGCTGCCCAGAGTTACCTTGAAGTAAGATGGACAGCCTATACATGTTATAAATAAACAAACCCCATTAGGTACACTTCATATGCCCATAGGTGATATAAGATCGCAGGTACATGAACAGAAGATTCAAATTTTTATCAAGATGGCCAAATAAACCATGGATATTTCATATTAGGGCCACATTTTATTACAGGTTTCCAAAAGTATAAACAGCTTCTCATGGGAAACAACACTTTTTTTTCTTGCTATCCTAGCTATCGCAAGTCAAACAAAGTGTGATGATTTTAGAAACTGGAGACTGAATAAAAGATTTTAAGCAGAAGAAAAAAAACCCACTAGTCAGATTAGGTCTTTTTATATACTTTTGAGGGATGACAGTTGAAATGTTCCTCCAGATTCTATTCCTTTATTCATAATAACAGTTTCCTAGATGTTGCCTGTTTTCATTTGTAAAGGCAAGAAATTTAAAGGAAGTAATACAGTACGGCAATACTGATCTTAAAAAACAGCCTCTTGGCAACGTGCACATTATTTCTCACCTCTGGTTGTCATTCCTTACTTTACAAAAGAGCTCTTATACTTTTCTCAACTTGCACAACATTTGAGTTGGTCCTAATAAAGATTATCCAACTATGGACTAGAGATCTAGAGAAAAAACCCTCACGCGCACAGAATCGGTGTTTTATTTATTATTTATCTTAGGGAACCCCCTCCCCAAATGTATTTTTATTTTATTTATTTGATTTGCCAATTGTTTACAAGATAATAAGTATAAGTGTATACATAGTTGTGAATACATGAAATGGGTACATATAAGAAAAATAAAAGAATAAGAGAAACAATAGGACAGGGACGGTAGGCACGTTGGTGTGCTTATGCACGCCCGTCAGCCAGTCTGGAAAAACTTGTTTTTGAAAGGCCCGCAGCATGCCCAATTTTTATATAAATGCAATAAGATGGAACGTTTTCTCCTTAAAATTCATTTAAATCCTAGTTATCTTAACGATTGCCGGAACGAAACAAAGGATGCTTGTTCCACCTTGCTGTGGCATAGGCGGAAACCCAACACCACCCTCTCGATGTAGAAAAGGACCCAGCATTTGTGAAGTAAGGAATAAAATAAAAAATGTTGCAATAGCAAGGCAGGTCGGGTAATGAAGGGCATTTCCAGGGCCAGGCAGCTCTGCCCTGGCAATAAACTAAGCAAGGTTTATTGACCAGTCCTGGCATGCCCAAGTAAGCTTTGCGACCGTCCCTCCTTTGGGCGCTACTTAGCCACTAGAGCACGAGTCGAGAGGCTTTCCCTGCGACGCTCCGCCCTCAATCCCGGAAGGGAAGCGAAGCGAGTGCCCGGCTTCGGCCTTCAGCGCAGCCAAAGCCCTTGAAAGGGACGGACAAATGGAGGGTGCTGCTAAGGGGCTCTGAGGCTCCGAGAAAACCGCCTCTTTTGAGGGGGAGAGGAGGGGTGTCGAATGGGTTATAAAGAGACCCACCCCCGCGGTCGCAAGCCCCTTTCTTCCCGCGCCCCCTTTGAGCCCCTTCGCCCGCGTCTGAGTTCTCTCGGTTTCGGGGAAGGCAGAACTTGAAGAAGGACGAGCTGTAAAACTTTCGGCCCCTCCTCCTCGTCCGCCGCCTGGGGCGTCTGGTCTCAGCCGTTTCCCCGGGCCGGATGGGTTCATTCCCACGTTGGTGGTAGGTGCCGAGTCTCTACGGGCGCCAGCGCTGCCCGAATCCTTCACCTCTCCCCCACTTTGTGCCTCTTACGTCCCATAAAGCAGCTTTCTCCAAGTGAGTCGCTCCTTAGCCCCTGTTGGATTACATGTCCCGTCATTCCCAGCAGTTCCTGTTCGGGATGGTGGGTGGCACAGTCAGCATCCCTGGAGGGAAATATGGATCAAGGCAGGCTGATATATTAGACCAGATTCCCAAAATGTGTTCTTGCTACCATTATTATTATTATTATTATTTTAAACAGCAGAGAACATTAGTTCTGTGGAGTCCTTGATGCTCTCTGAGCTTGGTGGCTTTGTTTATTTATTTATTAAATTTTTATGTTGCCAGTCTCCTTTACAAGGTGACTCTGGGTGGCCTTACAACTTATAAAACAAGTAACAAATAGTTAAAAGATGAAAACAACACAAAGTTAAAAATAGTATTAAGAGCTATAGTAAAATCGAACTAAGAGCTAACAGCCCGCTGGGATGGGAAGGAGGTCTTATCTGCTCAGCCAATAGGGAGCAGTGAGCACCTCCCTTGGGGCCCCCAGTCCAGCTGGCAAATCCAGATGTTTCATTACCCAGGTAGGTAACATAGTATTGCACTGATGATATTACCTAGGTGGGTAATGAAATGTCTACAAGAAAAAGCTCAGAGTACCAATGACCCCACAAATCAACCCAAATATTCTATTCTATTGGTAACATTAGTTCTGTCAGACGTAGAAACAGACTGTGGATATTTTTTTTTTTTGCATGGACATTGCAAGAAAGTTGAAGAACCGGAAGTGCAAGCGTACGTGGTATTCCCCCTTTACAGTTTGGAGGTGCACGGTTTGGCTCTTTGGTTGCATAATCTGTGCTGGAGAATATGTGGGTGTTTGTTTTCCATACTGGGTTTGGAATCTCAAAATACAGATGTGCAAGTTCAGCGGGGTGGTTCCTTTAATCGTAGGCTCTCCCTGTTTTTAAGTACTGGCACATTGTAGTCTAAAATACATGTTTGTATGTTTAATGTTGAGAAGGGAGATGGAAATATGATAGGATGTCTTGTTTTTAATTCTCAGTTGGTTTAATGGGTGACTTATTATATTGGCATGGAGTCTAGATAAATGTACTATATGGTTTTTGTCTCCCAGAGACACTTTGCACATTTTGAAAAAAAAGAAACTTGGTTGGGCAGTGCCCAATTGTCATTTTGCTTGCTCTGCTAACTCTCCGCATCATCTTTTGACACTTTCATCAGGCTATCTATATTTCCCCACGTTTCTCAGCATTTTCCTTAGCTAAAGTGCATTTTGAATATTGCCTCCTTTCTTTTAATGAGGGGGAGTGTTCCTTGAATTATAGGCAACCTTGCTGCACTTTAATGATATAACTATCAGGGCATTGTTAGGGCTTCACGGAATATTACCTCCATTATATTTGCAGTTGTGTTGCATGAGATAGTAAAATATCTCATTCCTGTAGGTAGTAAATGAATGCTGGAGTGAAGACATTGTAACTTGCGTGGCAATGAGTTTAAGGCTCCTCTGACCAATTCAATTGGTTATTATATTAAGCTAGAATTTCATTATCCGTGATTTGTTAAGCCATCTATTATGTCTTCACCCATTGCAGAAACTTAATGCAGTAGTATGAATCATGCCTGAATCAAAACCAAACCAACTGAGTTGTATGACTTCAGGCTTAGCATAAAATACAAATCCATAAAAGGTATGAAATTAAGCTTGCTTGAAATCCCTAGTCTTTTATTTTCTTTCTGTCTCCTGTAACTTTTTTGTCTATTTGCTGCCATCCACTTTCTCCTTCCCCTAAACTCTGCTCTAATTTCGCTTTCACTACTTCTTCAGTCTTGCTTCCTGTTTCCAAAGTCCTGCTTTATTTCTTAACTGTTGCCCTTTTTAATTGTGTTTAAAGGGATTAGCAGTTTTGAAATACTGTAGTAAAATAATGGAACAAAATCTAAAACTACAAAGGTTGGGGTCTAGTTATGTCATCCCATTGCATCCCATGGAAGGGCAGGAATGCATCATGCAGTTGTCCTTTCCCTTTAGTTGTTGCCTGCTATTAAAATCTGTTTTCTGTGTATGTGATGAATAACAAGGAGTGGTTCTGCCACACAAGCAGGATTCTAGTCATGGCTGTGTTGAAAGTTATGAAAAGTTAACTCAGACAAGCTGATGATTCAACATCAGGAGTTTCCTTGTTTGGCCTTCTTGGCTTTTTCTTGATCCCTAGATCATGTTGCACCACAAGTATACCCAACATGATCTGTCTTAGAGCAACCTTTATGAATGAAAAATCCTATGAAGCATATTGTCCAGGTTTACATGCTAGTTCCTAGGAATGTACCCTAGGTCTGGTCCTTCTTTTTTCATACTTCTTGTTTGGGACCTTGTTAGTGTTTTATATATATATTTGTTTAATTTGTATGGACGCCCATCTCAGCAAGTAACTGATTTGTATTAAGCCTTGTATTAAGTTGTGTGCCCAGATGGTGGAATTCTGGCTTAACGTTGACTTATAAAGAGTATAGATTCGGCTTGTAAACTGATGTTAACTGTTATCTGGAAACTAGTTAAAAATTAACTAATGGACTTTTTGTTCCTGTCTTTATAAACAACATTTATGAATCCTAGAATGACTGTCCAAGGCCAGGCAGTTTTATGATGTAGCACTCAGGTCTATCAGTCTTACATGAAATAATTGATTTGCTTTCCCTCATTGTATCACATGCTTACAAATTCATTATTTCTTTTGTAACATTATATTTTGATTATCTTCATTTAGATATCAAAACTCAACGATAGAGAGATGGCTTCCTTTGGTGGCTCAAGAAACTGTATTTTAATTCAGTTGGCATCTTCACTTAATTGGGGAAAACGCGTTAATCCTTACACATTTTCCAATAAAGCTTTAAATGTAGCCCAGCATCAATTGACAAAGTGCCAAGCATGGAATAAAAAGAACATTAGATTTTATTTGTGGAGAGACAATTCCAGAATCTATGAAAACATCATGAATAGAACCCACAGATGGCCTCTGGATCCTAAAAACGTAGAAATATGTACAACCAGATGCAGCTATTTTAGAAGGCCTTGTATACTCACTCAGCAAAAAGCAAGAAGAAAAGGTGTATTATTTGAAGCTACTATGTCTCAAAGATTACAAGACATTTCTACTCAGACTATCCAGACCTTCAGATGCTTTCACGGATCATCAATACTGAAAGCTGCTCCAGCTCCACTCTTACTGATGATCTTGAAACCAGTACAAAAGCTTTTTGCTATCATCCTTGGGAGGTAACCAATCAACTTTGTCCTGGTTAAAAAGAAATAACCTAGGAATAGTTGTTTGTAAAGTTTGTGGTGTATTTACAAAAGAGCAGTTCTGATAAAAGCTTATGGTATGCAAGAAAATAATATTGAGTTTCTTGTAGCTCTTTTAAAGTTACTGATGTAGCTCATCATATGGTAGCATTTTGGTCTTGGTTAAAAAGCAGAAAAAAACCAGCTCACTTACTTCTGCTTGGGATCAGTTGTTGGGTCTACATCAGTCACATGTACCATTTTATTGCTACAAATTGGAGATATGAAATCAGTTCCCACTTTGTTCTGTAAAACTTGGATTGCCAAAAGTTCCAGCCAGTTTCTTCACTTGGGTTTATAGGAGCTTCTGTCTGTTAAGTTCTCATGCATTGAATATGGTGTGTTATTTGTTAGTTTGTAAAAAAATACATACAAATACTAAATGTGCACCCTAAATATTTAAAATTTCAACCGATTTGTGGCTTAAATATAGATTATTCTATTTTTGATAATTAGTATATCATGCATAAGTATAAAATAAACACTTATTTTACTCGTGCAAATTTACACAAGAAAATGTTTCTTCATACTATAGATAAGTAGTTGAAGTGGCTAAATGCATTTGAATCCTTTATTACAAATAATATTTTTAAAGTATGATAAAATAAATATTTATTATTTTACAGAGACTCAATGATTTTTTTTTACCAATTTGTAAAGCTTGCTTTGCAGTCCTTAGGTGAAATTGGCAGGATATTGATTTATTGTGCTATAGCAAGAAACAATTGCATGTTATCTGTTTTTCTTTGCTTCATAATATACAAATTAGTTGTGAACCTCTCATTTGGATATAATTTATACTCAAGATTATATATTTTAACAATCTAGGGACAGTTGTTTGAAAATTGTAATATTTGTGTCTTCTAGGAGCATAAGAAAATGGTGGCGTGCACTTCCTCCAAACAAGAAGGAGTTATTTAAAGAAGCTGTGAGAAGAAATAAATTGAAGATAACCCTTGGAATTTCGAGCTTAGGAGTTATATTTATCCTTTTTTATTTTACACATTTGGAAGAGACACCAATAACTGGACGCACTCGGCTTGTAGTATTTCACAAGGATCAGTTTGCAGAAATGACAGAAATTGAGTATAACATGGTAGGTAATTATTAAGGTAAACAGTACATTTGTTTCTTGTTCTTTTAAAACAAGGGTTTTCAAACTTGGCAAGTTTAAGACTTGTGGACTTCAGCTTTCAGAATTCCTGAGCTAACAAGATTGGAGGAGGAATTCTGGGAGTTGAAGTCCACAAGTCTTAAAGCTGTCCAGTTTGAAGACCCCTTCTTTTAGAATGACATTTCTTCTCAAAGTGCTATAATATATTAAGTACATTGAGTTCATCCATTTTATAGCATGGTGTAATTCTAATAGGTTTTGACTTAATGCTTTTGCTTTAACTGTTATAATTTATAATCCCACAGACATTGTTATTTTATAACAACTATTCTCTCTCATTAAGCTGACTAGAAATAATGATAATTCTTTAATGTTTGAAAAGACATATGCCCCCATCTTAGAGAGAATATATCTTTGCAGGCTTTCAATTGAGTATCAAAATCAGGGTTGGTAGAAATTAAGGATATTTTTTTGCTAGTATCTATGCCCTTCTTGACTTGTGAAAGTGTCCCAGGACGTGTTGTGTGGGTGGCTTCTAGCGGTGGCGAATTCTTCTTTTAGTAGGGAAGAGTTGTTCCTTTGCATCTTAAGAAGTTTTTGGTTCACCCTGTCATGTTCCTGTCAGAATCTAATTCCGAGGGGGAGGCCAATCAGCTGACAGGGAGTGGGAGCGTGGCTCTGTTGGCTGTGGAAGAAACTGGGGAAGGGCAAAGTCCGGCTGGGCAGAGCAGGGGACAGGTTGAGCAAGGCAGAGGGAATTCAGAGGAAGTCTCAGGGCCAGCCCTTCTTCATCCTAGGGCACAAAGGGAGGAACGGAGAAGGGAGCAACATGAGTTGTGTGGCTTACGGGGGAGGAAAGGGTCCTGATTCCCTTCATTAGCTGCAGCTGGGAACACAGTATTTAAAAAGGGAAGCTACGCACAGCAAAATTGTTGGAAGCAAATCGTGACTTATCTGTTATTGTTGAGGCTTCTCTGGGTTCCTGGCGTCTTCTCAGCTGTGTGTGTTTTTTTGGCCTTTCAAGTCTGAAATTCCTTATCCTGCCTTGTCAAGTTAATTGCTGCAGTGTGGTTTGTGTGGATTTTTATTTACAGTTTGTATGTACTTCATTTTCGGACTGAATTTCCTCCACTTAAAGACTGTTTTTTCTCCAGCCGAAGGTAACCTGGACATTGGGGGCAAAGTTGGAGGTATTAAAGGGACTCTTCTTGCTTATTTGACTATGTTGCCTTTGTGCCATGCCCCGGGTTATCACACACTCTCTCCTTAAAAAGCCCTCACTAGACCCCCTGATGCTGGCCAAACTTCCATCCAGTATCCATCCTCTCCTTTTTTGAGGAAGTTGTTTGAGAAGGTGGTTATACAACAACTTCAGAGAAGTTGGATGAATTATTTGCAATTTTCTTCAACCAGAATTTAGACCTGGATATGGTATGGAAATGGCATTGGTTGTGCTTTTGGATGATCTGTGGCATTGGCAGGATGGTGGCTTTGTGTCCATCCTGGTGGCTTTCAATACCATTAACCATGGTATTAAGGGTGGGTGGCATGGAGTTATGCCGGTTCACCTCTTTTTTGCAGGGTTGGTTCCAGTCAATGGTGATTGCAGAAGAGAGATTCCATCCTCTGTCCCTGCTCTATGGTATGCTCTCCCCTCTCTGATTTAACATCTACATGAGTCCCCTGGATGAGCTCATCCATTGCCATGCAGTGAGGTATCATCAGTATGCTGATGACACTCAATTGGCTTGATGCCGATGATAAAATATTTTTAACGTCCCTTCATCTATTATTCTTTACTTTAATTTGGTTTTTATACTTTTTAATATATTTATTAACTGTTTCTAGCTCTGTTGTACGCTGCCCAGAATTGCTTGTTAGTGAGATGTGCAATTGTATAAATTGGTTAAATAAATAAAAAATCAGTTCAATATCTGCAAAAAGTATGTTTAGACCTCTGTGAATAAGCTCCGGTTTAATTTTGATGATGATTCTAAGAAGGCGTATGCTTCAGGTTTCTTAGTGAACTTTCTTGATTTCAGCTGCCTTGAGATTCTGCTTGAAAAAAGTTCATCATAGACTATAAAGCACTGAGGTTTTAAAATAAAATGTTGTGAAAATAGCAGGATTTGTCGACCCTTTTGAATAGACCCTTTGTTTTGTAACCTTGACATTTTAAAATATATTCCTTGTACCTGTTTTGAGGCAGAAATAGCAAAAATAGCAGAAAGACAGCGTAGCAGCAGCCATGTTCTTCAGTAAAGGGTCTACTTTACACTAAACCAATGCAGAAATCATCCTGCACAGAAACTGTTGGGTTAATTTTCCACACGGGACGTCCAGCTTAATATAAGATTCACCCCTGGTTTAGCCTTGTGGGTGGGTGTTTTGCTCTCTCTTGATCACTGGGTTTTCAAAATGCCAGGGAAGTTGGTGTGGCTGTTTGACAACTTTGAGCCACTCCTAGGGAAGATTTCCTCATCTCTGGCTTCAGTGGAATGTCAGACTGGGCAGGGCATTTTGACAGAGTTTGGTCTTCCCTAGCAAGCAAGATTTAGAAGAATAACCACTGACAGGAGTCAGGAAATTGTAGTTTCGCTGCTTCTGATAACTAAGCTTCATAAGGTGCCAGGAGCAGTGGCAAAGTTGGCTCCTACAATTTCTAGCTAACCTTGGTTACGTCAGGATTGTGGCTTGCCTCATATGTTTAAGTGTTTTAAGTATGTGAACTGCTGCCTCTGGATCACAGTATAACAGTAAAATACAATGCCACAGAGATATGCAGGGCAGGGGAAAAAGTAACCCCAGTAATTTTGTCTCTGTCTGTTCATTTACCTTGGCTTACACTCAGTTATTGTCCAGAAGCTTACATTTGCCTGATCAAAAATAATTTAAAAATAAGGTTTGATCCAAGAATGTACTGGATAGGTCAAAATGCTGAAAGCTGAATTGAGCTTCCTGTTGTGGAAGCACAGCTTCTTGCTGTTTGGGGAGAAATTGTTACATGACACCCTTGAGGCAAGACACCATTTTTATGTGCTGCAGAAGTCAAAGGCTACGGGAGGTAGTTGGGAAGAAAATTATTATTTGCAGCAAGAATTCTCCCTTCTTCTGCTTATCTGTCTTGGTTGCCCTGCAGGATTTGACTGGCATTTATCTGTATATATGATGACTGCCTTCTGTCTGGTGAAGGCTTCAATTGGTAATAGAAGTGGAAGGAAGAGAAAATGAAGAGAATGAGAGGAACAAAGAATATTTAAAGCATCAAAGGAGAAGCTACTTTATAAAGGCACTCTAATGCAACTGTGGTTCCTGATTTTTAGCATTTCCTAACAGGGTTTTATAATGAGAACCATTGTCCCACCTTCATTATTAAGACAATTCAGTGGATCAATTAGCTTGGCACCCTCTTTGGTACATAACAGTTCAGGGTGTTAAACAGGCAAGATTTTTTTTTCATGTCTGCTGCTTGTGATTAATTTGAAATACAGGGGAAGGGTATGGAGCTGAATTGTAGCTAAAATTTTAAAGACTGTTCGTAGGCTATGTTTGGTGGAGACCTGTGTGGAGGGGGACATAGTGTGTCTAAGTGATCTAAACAATATTGCAGTCTCATTAAACAAGTCCTACCCCTTATCTGATGTGTTGTGATGAAAGCTGTAAGAATGAGTAGACCTGGGGTATCCAATCTTGGTAACGTTAAGACTTGTGGACTTCAACTTCCATGCTGGCTGGGGAATTTCGGGAGTTGAAGTCCAGAAGTCTTAAAGTTACCAAGGTTGCATATCCCTGATGAGGACACTATTCCATAAGTTTTACTTTCTTTTACCAAGGTAAAAAAAAAAATACTTCCCCATAAAAGCAGTCTATTCAAATTCCTAAACTTTATCTCAAGGAGACTATGGCATGATGGATAGCATTTTTTCCCTAAATAATATTATCTCATGTGTTTATTAAGTCTCCTTCATAGATATTCATATCTATGCTGTAGTTTGAGCCATTTGGAACAATTAATATACTGTGCTTTTTCCCCCTCCTCTTTTTCCCACCATCTTCTTTTTTAAATATTTCAGTGGATGCTACAGTTTCAGAATAAAATGTTGCCAGAAAAAGATCCCCGTTACCAGGTGGTTAAGAAAGTTGTCACTCATTTAACTGAAAGCAACAAGGACATTCCAGGATTCTCTGAATTTACCTGGACTATCCATGTGGTAGAAGAGCCTAACATTAATGCTTTTGTACTTCCAGTAAGTAATAACTGAAAAGATGACGCATAATTAAGGGAGAGGGAGAGAGAAAGAATAAAACACCTAATGGCTTGTCTAAATGTTTATTTTATCCTTTTGCCTACAGAATGGACAAGTGTTCGTTTTCACTGGTTTGCTAAATGCCGTGTCAGATATCAATCAGCTCTCATTCATTTTGGGACATGAAATTGCTCATGTTATTCTGGGACATGCTGTAAGTTTTATTTAGTTTTTTTTTTTTTTTTAAAGAAATGTTAACCTAAAAATGGTTCCATCAGGATAAATGTAACTGTCAGGATAAATGTTGAGATTGCCATATTTTCTGCAGCGAAATGGGATAGACTGATACTTTGCACTAAGAAACTGGGTTAGTCTTAATCACTTAGTTCACAATAGACAAGGTGCCAAATGTTTCAAGGTTAAAATACTCACTTTTGAGTTTGAAGCCATTGTTAAAAGTGAATTATAGGTAATATGGTTTGTAGGGAGAATATGAGAACAGAGAAAATGTCTTCCTACTTGGTAAGCTTTCTGAATGCATTTGAGTGGCCATTGTGACATAAAATGTTTGTGTTAGATGGACTATTGGCCTGAGTCAGCAGAGATTTTCTTATGTTCTTAAACTAATTACCAGATGGTTGGTGCATGTTTTCTCCCGTCATTTTAACAAGCATAAGTAAGCTGAGCCTTCTGCTTCATCTTATTTTTATTTATTTAGGTAATTTGATTGTATTTTTGGGCTGTCATTGTTAATGAGGGATAAGTACTTTAAACGTTGTCCTTAAGTTTTATTTCAGGACTAAAATATAGGAAAACCGAACCGTGAGAGAAGAATTAAAACAGTATTTTTATTCCACCCCCACCCCCTTCGTTTGAAGGCAGAAAAGGCAAGTCTGATGCACTTCCTGGACTTCTTCTCCCTCATTCTCCTCACCATGATTTGGGCTGTCTCTCCTCGAGACAGTTTAGCTGTGATAGGCCAGTGGATCCAGAGCAGGTTTCAAGAGGTAAGTTAACTGAATCCTGCACTGTATCTTAGGTTTTAGTTTGACTAATTCCCAGATTAGTTTGAAATCCCTTCTGTCTCAAAGATGCCAGATCTTGTTGGAAACAAGGTGCTGCAAACAATAGATTCAAGCCTGATCCAGAGAGCTGTTGCATTTCGGAATGCTTGGGCGAAACTATAGATTAGATTCTGTGAATAGCTGATACTGCAAGTCTTAATGACTTTTCTCCATAGGCTGGTGTGAAGAATGTGACCTCCCTGATTAAAAAATAATGAGTATAGATATTAACCAGGATCACATCTGTGACCTACTTCTTTTTATTAGATTGGTCCTATTTTGATCCATAGTGGATCATGAGATTTTCTTTAGTCTGATGTCTCAAATGCTTTCCCTTTCACCTTTGTTTCACCCATACTTGTTCATTCTTTTGACATTATGACAAAGAACTAGTATGTCTGGGAATCCTGCTGCCTGCTAATTTGTAGGCCACATGACGCATACCTCACTAGATTACTCAGTATTTGTTTATTTGTATCCCGATTTTATTGTCTTTACAAATAACTCAAGGCGGCAAACATATCCAGCATACCTCCCTCCTCCTATATTCCACACAACAACAGCCCTGTGAGGTGGGTTGGACTGAGAGAGAGTGATTGGCCCAATGTCAACCTGCTAGCTTTCATGGCTAAGGCAGGACTAGAATTTACAATCTCCTGCTTTCTTACCTGGAGTCTTAACTACTAGATCAAACTGGCTCTCTTCTTTGAAGCAATGGACTAATTCGTGAAAGACACTGTACATACATACATACATACATACATACATACATACATACAAACAAACTTCTCAACTTTGGACTGTGAGAACTGAGAGGGAATGTCATATTCTTTTATTTTCTTTGCAAATTCTTTGAAATAATAACAGTTTTTGTTTTTTTAAAAAAAACTTTGTTCCAGCAGCTGCATATATTCTACCAAGTGATGTAAGACTTTTCTAAAACCAATAATTTAAATTCAGTTGTAGCAGCCCTCATTTGTGGTGGTATTAACTATTGGAAGAATGCCGTGCAGTTTGTGGTTGAGCTGTCTTCTTTTATTTATGTTATTCCTTTAACCTGATCACCCAGAAATAATCCAGAACTTGGCTTCTTGTGGTTGAATGCTGCAAAGCTCATTCATCTGGAACAAAGAAGAGAATAAATGTCCTTATTCTTCCTGTAAAACTTCTTACTACACTTGTTCTTCCTGCCAGTCAGGAATAAAATCAGAGAAGTAGGAAAAGGTAGTTCAGTTGCCTAGCCTAAATTAGCTGAAAGAACTGTCAGAGTGATCAATGGTACTTCAGCACTGAGCTTTCTTTATAGTTCAAAAGATGCCAAGACCAGTTCTTTGCTTCGTGTGTATATCTGGCAGCTTCCTTCTCTTCATGCTGCAGAAATGGAAAAATTCAGGGTAGCATATTTTTTTTTTTTTTCTAAAAGGCAGTACCAGGGAAATCTCTAGGGCGAGGCTTGGCTTTTCCTAGTTTCTAAAGGTATTGTGTGGATGTGCTATTCTTACCCTTAATAAAAGTTTCCTGTTCGTACTAAGGAATTCCTGTTCATACTAAGAGATTGAATATTGCTCACTGGGGAATTCTGCGACTAAAGTCTGTGCATCTTAAAATTGCTGAGGTTGAGAAACACCGACTTAGATTTATAGCAGCAAAACACCATGGTTTTGTGTGACTTTCACATTGTAGTTGATTCATTTCTAGTTGAAAAGAATGATTTTAGAATCTTCTTTTCTTTTTGCATTTCCTATGCCCTTAAAGATTTTTAGAGATTTATGGGTTCATTTATTAACTCAGGTTTATATACCACACTGGTTGAAGACTCTGAGGTACTTACAAAATCAATATATACAGTTAGTAGGGTTAAAAGACAATACAGAACCAGGGATGAAAAGCAACTAATAAGGATAACTGACCACAGAATTATACAGTTCATATTCAGGTCATCTTGCCTTGATATTGCTTGGTGGCACCTTATTACTGTTTCATATGTTATAGTAGATTTTTTTTACTTTTTTTTTAATGGTGTAAATGTATTTTAATGTTTTTTTTAAATTTACAGAGAATATAATAATGTATAAGTGCATAAATAAAGCCTTTTCTCACATTCCACAGAAAACTGGAAAAGACATGGCTAGTGCCTTAGTTATTTTCCATTTCATTATAATATGTATAAGTAAAATTTTTACTTTATATTTGTAGTTTACAAACAATTAAGAGATTAAAAATAGATTTGGTCAGGGACTTATCTTGGATAGATTTTTGTTTTTTATTATACCTGAAAAATGGAACCAGTAACTTCTACCGTGACTGTTCAAAATTACAACTGCACTGAAAGAAGTATAACTTATAATAGGTCCTTGCACATAACAACCTTTTCAGCATCTCCATACTCATATGATCAAAATTTGGATGCTTGGCAATCGGCATGTATTCAAAATGGTTGCAGTGTCCCAAGGTTATGTGATTGCTTTTGTGATCTTCCCAGCCCATGTCTGACAAGCAAAATGAATGGGGGAACCTGGATTCATTTTAACAACTGCACAATTAATTTAGCAGTTGCACTGATTAACTTAACCATGGCCAAAAAAAAAAGGTTGTAAAATTGGGTGTGAATTACTTAACAACTGCCTTGCTTTGGGGAGGTTGGGAGGGCCAAAGCCCAGAAGGAGTGCTTTTTCTGGTAAATGGGTGTTTGAGAAATGGCAGTAGCTATTTATTTTTAGCGGAGTTTTTGTGTTTATTTTTGGATTATTTTATATATATTGTGTTTTAATCTGGGATATTTATTTATATTTCATCTTTATTATTTTTACAAATAATTCAAGATTGTGAACATATCCAACACACCCTCTTCCTGTTTCCTCACAACAACAACCCTGTGAGGTGGGTGGGCTGAGAGGGAGTGACTGGCCCAAAGTCACCCAGCCGGCTTTCATGGCTAAGGTGGAATTTGAACTCACACCTTCCTATTTTTATACTTGTGCCTTAACCACTAAACCAAATGTAAGCTACCAAAAGAGTCTGTCTGGATGTCAGTTTCAATATTTCAATATTTCAATAAACAAATAATAAATCTATACCCTTGAGGTAGGTAGTTCCTACCCTTGAGGTAGGATTGTAGAGGGTTGAGAGTCCAATGATTTGTTTGGAAGAAAAGTAAGCCATGTCTTTTCCAAATCTCATAAATCCAAGAAAAAAAGCACTTGCTTTAAGGAGGTGCAGATGGGCCCACCCTGCTCTCCATGTGTGCTCCGAAACATTTTTTCCCTTTTTTAATTGTACTCGGTGGTATTCAGCTGGTTCACACCGGATCGGGCGAACCGGTAGCAAGAATTTGGCGTGGGTCACCAAACCAGTAGTAAGTTCTGGCTGGCCACGCCCCCCATCCAGTTGCCCTCCCGCCCGATGCTCGCTCACCCCGCCCGCCTGCCTGACATTCACCTAAGGTATTTCTTTCTTTTTTTCCCTCCCGATAATCAGCTGTAGATAAGATCAGCTGTGCTGGGATTCTCCTTGCTGAGGCCCAGGAAGGCAAAAAATAGAGGGAGGAGCTCAGCCCCCACCTCCATTTTTTGCCTTCCAAAGCCCCAGAGGAGTCTTAAGAGAGCAAAAACGCCACCCCCACCCCCCGAGGGTCTTCTGAGACTAGGAATCTCCCAAAAAGGAGCTTGGAGGGGTGCTGCATGCCCCTCCCATGCTCTGTTCCTTTTCTTCCTGAG